CCCCCCCCCCCCCCCCCCGGCCAAGTGCCTGGCACCCCCTTGCGTCGCGTGCCCAGAGCGCAGGCGGCCAATTCGCGGCGCTCCCGGGGCCGGCGCTCACCATGCGCCATGCGCCCGGGGCCGGCTCCGGCACCGTGCATGTGCCACGTGCCTGGGGCCAGGCCAGCCCTGAGCACTTGGCGGGCGCACACAAATGCCAGCGCCATGGCACCCGCGGGCACTGTGTTGGTGACCACTGGACTAGAAGATCTCTTGAGGTCCCTACCACTGCCTTACATTTCTATGCTTTCGAATAACACTGGTCAGGAGAAACAAAACACTTTGTACCTTGGATTCATATAAGCCATATTATCTGTTCCTTCAAAGGAAGCAATGGGGGCATCATTTGGTATGTTATAAAAAATTAAATAAAAGGCTATAAAATGGACCACACTGCCAAGCATCACAACTGGGTTCCTGCCAAAGCGGTTATCTTTGTTCACTAAGCCAAAGAATCCTCCTCCTGTAGAAGGGGGAAAAGAAAACAATTATTAGTATAATGACAAAAATAAACATGTTTTAATAGGTTTCCATTAAATTGTATATATACCGTACAAAGAAAAAAAATCAACTTCAGGTATGGCAGCACATGTTGAAAATGTACATTATAAATGTATCTATGGTAGACCCTGAAGGAGGATCAGGCAGAGCAGAGATCAGCTAAGTGGTTTCTTGGTTCCATGGAGGGAGGAATACAACATAACAGGTGACAGAAGTGACTCTTTGAGTTGTCAGAGTCATCAGTGAAAGGTGGACAGAAGCTTTATGGGACAGTGCTCAAAGCACTAGCTGCGTAAGCACCACTCTGTGCATGGTCCAGGGCTGAAGTACCCACAGGAAAACAAGTGAGTGCTGAGCACCCACTGGCAGGCCTCTCCTTCCCCCCAGTGCCTCCTGCAAGTAGAGACCCCTACCAACCCCTGTCCCTGTCCCTCCCACCCCCAATACATCCTGCATACCACCAAACAGCTGCTGGCAGAGGGCAGGAGGCACTGGGAGGGAGGGGGAGACACAGAAGGAGGGTGGGAGTGGGCCTATGAGACACATGGCCCAGATGCCAGAGACCCTTCCAACTGCTGAGATGCTACTCCGCAGTCCTGTGCAGTGGTTGCCTGAAAGAACCTGGTTGGGGAGGCAACTGCTGCTTCCTGCCTGGGCTTGAGTGCTGGGGTCCCCATCAGCTGAGCCAGGAGGGGAGCTGAAGCCACCTCTTCCTCAGCAGGTTCTCTCAGGGCTGGGCTGCAAAGCAGCAACTGGGAGGGGCCAGGTTAAAAGCAGTTCCCTCCTGCTCTATGTCTAGGGTCCTGCACACCTGGGAGAGTGGCAGAACCTGCATGGGGGAGGCTTTGCATGCTGCCTCCTCCCCCAGCATTATTTATCAGCTCCTATTAGCTGGAAACCAAAGCCTCTCCCCCTCCCCCACATACACAGCACAGAGGGGCACATGGAGCTATTTTGAGCTATCTGGGGCTGCAGGGAGCCTGCCTGAGGGGCCCACTGAGCTGCTAGTTGGGAGCTGCTTAGGTAAGCCCCTCCCAGCCAAAGCCAGCCCCTGTCACTCCATCCCCTCCTGACCCAAACTCTCTGCCCCAAATTACCACCCAAACCCTCTGTGTGAGGTCACAACTCCCTCCAAGACCCTGCACCTCCTCCTACACCACTCCCCCATGTCAGAATCCTCTTTTAGGGTTACAAGATGGCTTAAAAAAATACCGGAAACACTTGATCTCAGATGGTGGATGGGACTGGCCGGGACGGGAGCAGGGCTGGCCAGCAGGAGGTCAGGAGGAGCGGGGTCAGCTGGAGGAGATCGGGAGGAGTGGGGAGGTGGAGAGGGGAGAACCGGCCAGCGGGAAGCAGGGCTGGCTGGGAGGGACTTGGGGGGAGCAGGGCTGGCTGTCGGGAGGGAGTCAGGGGGAATGGGGCTGGACGGGGGCGAGGTG